AGGCTTCCCCTTTGATCTCTAAAGAGAACGGGTTTTAACAATCCTGCTCTCCCACTCCCCCCACCTTTAAAAAATTCATCTTCCTACCTTCTGCAGGAAGCAGAAGCCTCCCTTTTTAAAAGACCCCAGCTCACGACCCAGGCAGACATTTTCCCTCCCTGGAAGGGAATCTGTCCCATGTGTTCCTCTTCTAATAAACTCTGCTTTCTCCTGATCAACCCTATTTGTCATACAGCTACTTTTTATCTATCAGAGACCTGCATGCCTCTGCCTCTTAAGTGCTGAGATTAAAGGCATGCACCACCATGCCCAAATTTCAGGAAAGTTTTTGGTACAATCTTTGGGAAAAAAAAAAAAGACACTTTCTCACCAAAATTTTTATTGATAGGCCTTTTATTTCTATGAAAAAAAGTAATATATTCTGAAGAGGAAGCTCTCTTCATTTCAGGCAAAATAATTATGAATTTCCCTTTAGTTTGGTAGAAATTTTAAGAAATAAAAAATTTCCTTTGGGGCTTCTGTTATGCTGTGCTGTTCCACAAAACAAGCTTTTTTTTGGTTTGTTCCTGTTCCTGCTCCTGTTCCCGCTGCAGCTGCTGCTCTATAAAGAAAACGGGGTGTAGGGGCATCATGAACTCCACCCTTTTACCTTTTGTTTGGTGCTGGGGTTGGAACCCAGGGCCTCAGGCATGCTAGACAAGAGCTCTGTCACTGAGCACCAGACCCAGACCCTGAATAATATTTTTTATATGTTATTTTTATTTTATGTGTATGAGTGTATTGCCTGCATATAGGTAGGTGCACCCATGTCATACAATGCTGCGGAGGTCAGAAGAGGGCATTGGATTCCCTGGAACTGGAGTTACGGGATGGTTGTTAGCCACCATGTGAGGAGGGCATTGGATTCCCTGGAACTGGAGTTACGGGATGGTTGTTAGCCACCATGTGAGTGCTAGGAATCAAACCCAGGTCCTCTGCAAGAGCAGCCAATGTTCTTAACCACTGAGCCATCTCTTCAGGCCAACCCTGCCTTTTAAAGCAAGAATAATTATGTATGAGCTTAGAATATAATTAAGAATATAAAATTAGAATTAATATATAACTAGAATACAAAATTAATATGGCTTAGATCGCATGGCCACATAGCCTACTTGCTGTGTCCTTAACTAGCAGTGGCCCTAGAGTAGCTGTCTCCACCATCTAACATATGGCCTTCTAGAAACTCACAGAGCAAATGATGTGGGAAAACCCAAGAACCTACAGGCTGCTGCTTACCTAAGATCACCCTAGAATCATTCTGTTTCCCATGAAGGACAGGTAAGTATAGCAAAGACAAGATACAGTGAAGGGAGACATGCCTAAAGAGTAAGTTAAAAAAATAGGATGGGGTCACCATCTCCTGCTCCCTGACTAGGCCAGGCTGGTAGAGAGCTCCCAACCAGCCTGGTAAGTTAGCCAGAACATGCCCGCTCCTTCACCATCTTCTTTGGGACTAGTCAAGGATCAAGCTGCTCCTGGGCTCCCATTTACCCTGCCTAGCTAGTTAGAGTTGCCCACTTTTCGCCATCTTCTGGCTCCGTGACTAGTCCAGGAACATGCTGGTAGAGAGCTCCCGACTAGTCCTGAAGAGCTCTGTTCTAGTTCCAGACTAGCCTGGTGAGATAGCTAAAACTAGTCTACCTCACAGCAACTCCACACTCATGGTCCTGGCTGTGACTACTCATCTCGCACACTGGACCAGCCTGGAACCATCTCGTCCCTCCATTACAAAATAAAAAGTAAGAACCTGAAGCAAAGACCAATTAACTATTCATACCCAATTAGAAAGCAACCAAGCTACAATAATAAAAACAGGACCAAACTTAACTAAACAAAGGCAGGCTAGAATTTCATATCAGACACACAACCAGCAAAAGAAGTCCCTATGCCCAGGTTACAACACAAAAACACAAATAATACAAAAAACAAAGATCATGTGTTCCCACCAAACCCCACCAGCCCTATAGAAGTAGTCTACAATGAGAACTACCCAGAGGAATCCCAGGACACAGAACTTAAAAGAACAATCATAAACCTGATCAAAGAATTCAAGGATTTTTAAAGAACACACACACAACTCAAAGACCGCAAAGAGGACAGGAATAAACTGACTGGGGCTCAAGGAAATACAAACATTCAGCTAAATGAAATGACAAGGACAATTCTGGAATTGAAAACTGAATTCATGAAAGAAATAGAAATGTTGAGAAAACTCAAGCTGAAATGAAGACGGAATTGAAAAGCTCAATAAGGCAATGAAACAATAGAGTCTCACCAACAGAATGAATCAAATGGAAACCAGAATATCAAGACTTGAAAATAAAGTTTGAGAATTAAACCACTCAAGCAAAGTACATGAAAAAAATTTAAAACACAGGAATGAAATGTACAGGAGCTGCGGGACACTACAAAAAGACGAACTTTATAAATTATAGGCACAGAGGAAGGAGAAGAATCTCGGGTCAATGGCATTGACCAGATTTTCAACAGGATTATAAAAGACAACCTCCCTAAATTAAGCAGAGACATACCCATACAGATATACAGAACACCAAATAGACAGGACCAGGGGCTGGAAAGATGGCTCAGCACTTAAGAACACTTGACCGTTCTTCTAGAAGACCCAGGTTCCAATGTCAGCACCCACATGGCAACTAACAACCATCCGTAATTCCAATTCCAAGGAATTTGACACCCTCTTCTGTTCTTCATGGGCACTGCGTGACATGGGTGCGCTTACATACATGCAGGCATAACACTCATACACATAAAGTAAAAATATATAAATAAAATAGTACCAGAAAAGAAACTCCCTATGGCATATCATAATAAAAACACTAAATGCACAGAACAAAGAGGGCACCGAAGGCTGCAAGAGCAAGATGAGAAGTTACATGTAAGGGAAAACCCATCTGAACTACAGCTGATGTCTCAACGCAAACTGTAAAAGTCAGAAGGACCTGGAGCAATGTATTCCAAGCTGTAAATGACCATACATGTCAACCCAGAATACTTTACCCAGCAAAACTGTCTATTATAGTCAAAGGGGAAAGAAAAATCTTCAATGATACAAATAAGATGAGAGAATTCATGTCCAGCAAAACAATCCTACGAAGAAAGCTGGAAGAAATACAAAGGACCAAACCAAGAGGCTACAGAAAGAAAACAAAGGAAGGAATAATTACAGCAGCACGAAATAGAACTAAGAACCACGAACAGAAAAGGACAGTAATCAATACACATCTTTCAATAATAACTTTAAATATCACTGGCTCAACTCCCCAGTCAAAAGACACAGGCTAGTTGAAGGAATTAAGAAACAAAATCCATCTTTTTATTATCCACAAGAAACTCATCTTCAAGAATAGGCACCACCTTAGGGTGAAAGGATGGAAAAAACATTCCAAATAAATGGCACCAAGAAACAAGCAGGTGTTGCTCTTCTATCTGACAAAACAGACTTCAAACTAAAATCAATCAAGAGATAAAGAAGGGCACTTTATTCTGGTCAAGGGAACAATCAACCAAGAAGAACATGTTTGAACATATATGCACCAAACTCTGATGTACCCAATTTCATAAAAAGAGTACCACTGTACTTCAAGATACAGCTTAATCCCAGTTCAGTAATAGCAGTAACTTCTATACCCAACTTTCCCCAATAGACAGGACATCTGGACAATGAACAGAGAAACATCTGAATTAAAAGACATCATACGTCAAATAGACCTAATTGGCATCTAAAGAATATGCTACTCAGTCACCAGGAAATACACATTCTACTCAGCAACCCATGGAAGTTTCACTACACCAGAGCATATGCTGGGGCACAACACAAACCTCAATAAATACAAAAAGTTGAAATGATGCCTTGTATTCAATCAAAGCATAATGCAACAAAGCTTAAAATCAACAGCAAGATAGGGGCTGAGAACACAGGGGACTGCCTGAGAGTGCCCAGATCCTGCCTCCACATGGTGGTGAGCTTCCCCTAACTGCACCATACCCAACCCCCTAACTGGGATTGCTCGAGGCCCCTCCCAAAGCCCTGGGGAAGACCTGGATCTGGTAGGATAAGGCTGAGATCTTAGCAGACAGGCTGAGAGGGTGGGT